TATATTATTTTCATATACATTTTACTAATTTCCTTTCATCTCTCACACTTCTATTATAAAGGGAAAATAGCAATATTAAAATATCTCCATTAATTAATTCTCTTTTTAAAAAAATATATTTTATTGATTTTTTACAGAGAGGAAGGGAGAGAGATAGAGAGTTAGAAACATCAATGAGAGAGAAACATGGATCAGCTGCCTCTTGCACACCGCCTACTGGGGATGTGCCCGCAACCAAGGTACAGGCCCTTGACCAGAATCGAACCTGAGACCTTTCAGTCTGCAAGCTGATACTCTATCCACTGAGCCAAACCAGTTAGGGCGAAACCTATATAATTTTATTAACCAATGTCACACCAATAAATTCAATAAAAATTCTATATAATAAAGAGCTAATATGCTAATTAGACTGAACAGCAGAACGACTGTCCAGATGACCTTCCAGGCGACCTTCTGGATGATGCCGGGGCTGTGAGGGATGGCAGAGTCTGCAAGGGGCTGTGAGGGCCAGCCGGAGCTTCAAGGGGTGGCGAGGGCCGGCCAAGGCAGCCGGGGCTGGGAGGGCCGAGCCCCTTGCATAAATTTCATGCATCAGACCTCTAGTAAATAAAAATAAGCATCATTGCTATAAGTTCACTTAATGTTTGATTTTCCTTCTCACAATTTATATGTTTATTACAAACCTAATCAAATCTCTGAAAAGATTTACAGCATCACACTCAGGGTTTCTTTTAATAGACACCACAATCTGGGCAGGGAAATATCACAACAGTCTATTTTATCTAGTATAGATAAAATTACAGACAGCTTTCCCAGAGATTGCATGTTTTTTTTTTATTGTTGTTGTTTGTTTGTTTTGTTTTTCATTGATCTTATGGCATCTCTGGGATAAAGGCAAGGACTATTATCCTTACTTTGTAGGTCAGGATACTGAGGCACCAAGAGGTCATGAGTAAATGACAGAATTAAAATGGGAACTTAGATGTTCTGCCCCCAAATTTAGTTTTATTTCTATGATGCACGAAAAACATGTCATAGCATTGTAGTTAAAATTTTCAAGTTGAAATTATGTTACTATCTCAATTTAGAGTATTTTTAGATTTGTGTTTTCAAATATCTGAAAAATACATAGTTTAAAAAATGGTGTCACGTTAAGTACCCCAGATAGGGGGAATACTACAAAGACAAACTATTAGATTGGGGTTTACTGGGATTATTTTATATTTACCCAGAGGAGGTAAACCTTGATTTAAGTAAATGCAATATAATAAAACCCCAAATTAAAACCTAATATATTAAAGATTTGCTTTAAATAAGGAATTCCATTTGTATATGAGAGAGAAACATCGATCAGCTGCCTCCTGCACATCTCCCACTGGGGATGTGCCCGCAACCCAGGTACATGCCCTTGACCGGAATCGAACCTGGGACCTTTCAGTCTGCAGGCCGATGCTCTATCCACTGAGCCAAACCGGTTTCGGCCCATTTGTATATTTTAAATCAAATGACAAAAAACAAATTATCCATCTCTAGAGGGTTCCAGGGAAACACACCTGTTATGCAAAGCAAAATTCACTTATACTACCCAGTAGTCATGCAAAATCAACAAATGACATTGTTGTTCAAACTAAATCTTAAGTCCTTCTTATGTGATTTTCTGCATATCTACAGTGATGTAGCACTCTTCCCTAATATTCACCCATTGACACATTTGGCATCTATGTAATGAGGAAAGATTGTGGATTTTTACATCTAAACTGGATCAAACAGATTCACTTATGTATGTTTGTATAGAAGCATCAGGGACATGTATTGCTTAGAATATGATGTGTGGTGCCAGATAACAAAAAAGAGATGCTTTCTTGTGCTTTTCACCCAATTTGTATCTCGTTCAGGATGACTTTTATTTAAATAGCCTCAAAATAAATCCCTAAATATTATGCAACACAATGAAAAGACCCTCTCATGAAGGAGTTGGCTTTTAGACTAATCTTGAAGGATATGTAGTGACTTTAATAGCCATAAGGAGTTGGACAAAATCCAAGAAAATACCCTCTTGGCAATTTTGGGGGGGGATAACATAACCCTTTATTTATTTTTCTACAAATATTCATTGAGCACCTATCATATTCTAGGTACTGTTCTAGTTCTGGGTCAGTGGTTCTCAACCTTGGCTGCACATTAGAATCACCTGGGAATATTTTTAAAATCCTGATTTCTGGGCCTCATCCTCCGGAAATTCTGTTTCTTTGTTTTGGGGTGGGGCCACAACATTACTAACAAAGAAACAGAATTTCCAGAGGATGAGGCCCAGAAATCAGGATTTTTAAAAGATTCCCAGGTGATTCTAATGTGCAGTCAAGGTTGAGAACCACTGTTCTGGGTATATAACAGTTTAATGGAAAAGAGTCTACCCTCATAAAAATC